CACGTAAGACCATGGCTGTGTTTTCTAGAGAAGAAGTTGTTTTAAACGTTTTTTTTTAAATTTACGTTATCAATTATGTTCATGTAAGAGTTATATTTCCGCATTATAGATGAGCATCAAACGTTAGTAGCGACTCTGAGTATGTGGAAATTTACGGTCGTTACAGTGTAACGACCCTAAATTTCCACATATCCAGAGTCGCCACTAACGTCTCATGCTCATCTCTAATGCAGAATAAAAATCTAAGCATGCTCATTTTTAATAGCGGAAAAATTTAAAACTTCAGAATACATTAAAACTTTGGAAAACACTGCCGGACTTACGTGTTTCAAACATTGAGCTAGAGTTCCAAAAAGAAAAGAAAATAAAATAAAACGACTACAAATTAATTAATATAAATGAATGAATTGCAAACGCCCTATTCTAACTAAGACTAGGAATTAAATATGCATCTATCCTATGCACGCGCCACAGTCTCTGATCACGATGCCACCGTCAACCGTACATGGGTGCCTTGCCTTTACCTGAAAAAACAATATGGCACACGGCAGAAATACTCAGTAAGTGACCCCACTATAGGGGCCATGCTAATGCAAACACATGCAATCATGAATAGGGACCTATCTCTAATCATCTTAGGGGTGGCCTCCAGTCTCGAAAAAATTGGATGTGTAGTACTTCCCTACACACGACTCACACGTGCGAGTGTGAGTCCCCAGGGCGCTCGCACACCCCCTGGACCCTCTGGTCAAGCTAATCTGTAGCGACGTCCGGAGGTCAGCGGAACCCCATAGTGTCATGCGCCTCATGAACACCCTATCTGTGTGCTTTCGCACCTGTGCGCTTTCGCGCTCATCATAAGGTGCGCGTCCGCACTCATCATCTCTAGGGGAAGTAGCCCTATGCTTATGAACATACAAAATGCATGAGGTCCCTCTAAATCCATCGTAATGTCTCTTTTGACACAACCCTCTAGTCTCATCTCTTTGTTACTCTAGGTAACGCATACTCGTGGATATTTATATTAATATCATTTTCATGCTCTTAGGGTTGTGTCCTACGTCGATCTAACGACATGATGCAATATGGCACTCATCATCATCTAGCATGCTCAATATGGAAAACATCATCATATTAAGGTAAAAATCATGCAATCATCATGCTCATCATAATGCCACAACGTGCGTCAAACATATCAAGCGTCACTCAACAAATTATGTATATACCGCGCATATCATCAAGCATCATAATCCACACATCATCATAACTCATAGAATTATTTAGCCTATTCTATAGTAAGGCCACTTACTTGGTTGGCCTTGGCCGAAGTACTCCCTAAATCGCTAAACGTAAGCTCCCGTTCCGTGAGAGCCGCTCCCTACGTCCTTGGGGTTTGTTTCCTATCACACCGTCCACCACTTTCCGTTAGTATTTCACAATTAATTTACCTATAATTTAATAAATGTGAAATACGGCTCTGAAACGGCCTCGGATACCTTAATCGGGGCCGAAAACAAATTCGGGAGGGTCGGAACAGTGGAAACCGGGCTGAAAACAGGTGAGCCGAGCCGAACAGCCGCTGGAGCCGCCGGAGGAGCCGCCGGAGGGTCGCCGGAGGGAGCCCGAGCCGTTTGCGCCGAGCCGAGCCGAGGGACTGCCTGCGCCGTTGAGTGACACGTGGCAGTAGCAGAGAAAGCCACGTCGGGCGGCAGTGTCGGGTCGAAGCGCGGGTCGCAGCCCGGTTCGGGTCGTGGGCTGTGGAGGGCTACTGGGCCAAGACTACTCGTTGGGCCTCGGCTTACTGGGCTGGGCCGCAGGAGTTTGGTTTACAGGCCGGCTCAATTGGACCGTGGGTCTGGTCTGGGTTGGTTCAACTGAACCGTAGCTTCTGGGCCGGCTTGAGGTTTGGGCCGCTGAAGTTGGGCTGGGCCGAAGGTAGAGGCCAAGGGAGGAACGGGCTGGCTCTCCCGGGTTCTGGGTTCGGGTTGACCCGGATCCGTGGATCTCGTCTTCCTTACCCGACTTCGGCCGATTTTCCGGCGAGCTTTCTCTCTCTTTCCCGCGGCGTTTCCGTTGCCGATTTCGGTCCTCTTCCTTCCCTTTTCCTCTTTGTTTGTCGTCCTTCTTTCTTTTCTGGGAGTTTTGCGGCCTAAAAGCTCCTAAAAGCCATGGATCTAAGAATCGATTAAGAAACCTAATCTTTCCGACCTCGGTTACCGACGACGACGCTTAGGAAATAACACAAAACGCACCCCGAGTTATTGTGCTTTCGTTAGGGATCCCTCTTATGGTGGTAACAGGCCGTTTGGTGTTACTTTGAGGGTGGTTTGAGGGCTCGTCGGAGAAACTGGACACTCGACGACGTTTGTCCGAAATCTCTCTCTCTCTCTCCAAATTTTCTCTCTTTTCTCCCTTTGCAGGTCTCTGAAACTTTGCAGGGTGTCGTGGGTTGAGGGTGGGCGTGCTGTGGCCGTGGTTTCGCGTGGGTTCCGCGAAACTCGGCGGTCGCCGGAAAACTCGCGGGTTTTCCGGCGACTGAGTTTTTTTTTTTTTTTTTTTTACTTTATTTACGATGGTAGGGCCACTTGCTTGCTTGGCCTTAGCTGACGTTTTCCCTAATTCGAGTACATTCGCTCCCGTTCCTCGAAATTACTCCAATCACGTTTTCTATTAAAATATTCATCCCGTTTCGTTAGTAGTTTAAGAATTCTTAACTCAGTGGAATTTAAATTGAGAAATTTAACCTTATTGACCTTATTCGCCTTAAACAAGCTCAAATTCAACTTCGAGATGGTTGGAACTATGGAAATTAGCTATTTTTCCCTTTACTGAGTCAAGAAGGAGTGAGTTTTGAGCTGTAGAGTCGAGCCGAGCCATTTAAGCATACTTAGCTGTGGAAGTGTCGTATTGCAGGTGTGCCACATAGAGCAATCAAAGTCCGACGTGGCTGTTGGCGACTTCAGGTCGAGGCATGAGTCATTACGCGTATGCAAGTCACAGATTGCGACACAGTACTAGGCTGTTGTAGGTGTGGGCTGATGCATGGGTCGTAGCAGGTTGCGCCTCGATTACTCGGGTGTCGATCGGGCTGCAAGCGCACGGTTGGGGCTGAAGCAGAATGGGTTGCAAGTGATTGGTTTGGGTCGAGGTGGAATAGTGTCATTAATAGACTGCAGCTGGGTAACGAATCTAGGTTCGACCCAAAGTCCACGGACTTTGTCTTCTCTACTCGTTTCTCTCGAGTTTTTCAATTAGTTTTCTCTCTCCTTTGAAACGACGCTCGGACGTTCGTTTCTTGCCGTTTTTCCTTTGGTTCTTCGTCGTTGACCCTTCTTCTTTGCTTCTCACAAAGTGTTTCTAGTTATATGCACCTATAACGTGCAAATCTATAAGAGTCTAAAATCTGAAACTCAAACCCTCTTTTCCGACAACGAATCACATTGTTAAGGCGTGAGAGCTTACCTCCTACGTACGTGCAATCGTCGGTGATCCCTTTCATAGTGTGGGTTGATTGTTTCGACACTAGATCTATGAGATTATCGTTGTTGGAGTATTCTCGAAAATCTCTCTCTCTCTCGTTTTCTCTCTGTGTTTTTCCTTTCTACTTTGTAGGTGGGTTGTGACGGTGACAGGATACTTGTGGGTTCAATTGGAGCAGTGTGGGCATCGGGTAGGGTGTGGCTGAGAGGGGTGCAAGAATGTCGATGCCTCACTAAAATTTTCGTGCATTTTTTATTTCCACTTGATTTCATCATGTTATGCCATAGTATCTTGGACTGATTTTTTTATTATGTTGATTTTTTTTATGTAATAAAAGTTAAGGTTATAATAATAATAATTAAATAATTGTGTAGGAAATTTTTGGGATTCGTTAGAACAGCTAGAACCCCAACCAACCCACCCCCATGAAGTTTTTCCTCCGATTCCAGCATTTTCTTACAACTTTTCTAAATTCACAACTTTAATAAAGAAACCAAGATGATCCAAGTTGATTTGAGTTCAAAATAAAAAAATACAAAAATTTGAAACTCAAGTAAAAAAACCTAATCGGATCTATATTGTCGAGTAGAACGATGTATCAAGCGTGGCGTGGAGCGGGCGTGGAGCGACATGTCTCCACCAAGATGAGGACACGCCACCTTCTGCAATACCGATCCGACCCATGTAGTTTGACCCAAACCGACCTGCTACCCACTAACCAACCCGATTCAACCCTTTGTCCAAAGAAAATTGAACTGACCTAGCCCACTATCAGACCAGAAACCTTGACCTTCTGCATGGTACTCGCATGTGACTGTTGCGAGAAGAATATGTAACGATGTTTGGTAATGCGTGGCCAGTGAGTGTTAGATGGTTTTTGGTCGGTTCAATTTCCTTGGCTAGATTTTTATCCTAATTATGATTCTAACTATATTTTTTTTTTTAATGTGAAATAGGTCTTAGTGGATGAAAAAATCACTTCTTTTGGACACCCTCGTGGTGATAAATAAAAATCTCAACATATCTACTTCTCTACATATGGCCCATGCGTGCAAGCATGCGCCCACCAGGTAGGTTCACACACCCCTTGCACTTGACTCGTCGGGATAGCACTCGCTAACAGGTGCCAGATACTATGGGGGAAAGGGCAGGCATGGCCTCATGACAAACATAAATGTCATAAATCAACCGTAGTAATGTACACATTTATACTCATCATAATGAGAATGTATTCAGATGCACATGACACACAAATATGCATGAAGTTCTCATAGCTTTTAATCATGAAGTATTATATGATGCAAGACAAACCTCCATTTATTTATAACATATTAAGTTTGTGAATTATCCTTATATAATTCCTCTACAATATGTTATGTATATCTCAACTTATCGTGGCTCACACAACATATTGAAGCATACCATAGCATAGCATGACATAACATAGTTGTAACGCCCCTAATTTTTTCTAACCTAATTAGTGACGTTACCTTATACTTGCATAATCAACAGAACAAGAGTTCACGTAAGACAGTCTCAATAACAACAATGCGTTCATTATTATAAGCAGTTCATACCTGGGGAAGTCAATAACGACAACCTAACCTAGAAATAATCAACAGAGAACTAGAGGAAACAATTGCAATAACTATGAACCCAAAAGAATCCAACAAGGCGCCTACGACACTAACTCTCCTTAAGATTTCCATGGCCTTCGCAGCTTCCACCGTCAGCCGTACATGGGAGCCTTGCCCTTACCTGAAAATATGGGTAGCACATGACTTGAGTATTATATAAAATACCCAGTAAGTTGCCCCACTATTGGGGTTAAGCACATAATCATACATCTGGATACAAGCAGTCGCACACAATACACATACATGTCGCACATAATACACCTACATGAGCACAAGCGTTAAGAAAGAGAAACTAAGAGAGGGGTCTATCTTCCATTCCTTCCCATGGCCTTAGGCCCTTGCTATGTCCGGGTGAGGTGGATGCATGGTACTTTCCCACACATGGCCCACGTGTGTGACTGTGGGCCCACCAAGCGAGCTCGCAAGCGAACCCCCTGGGCCTGGCTTGGTCGGGTATGTATGACATACAATATCGGACGCCACGGACAAAGGAGGGCCTGCATGATATCGTGGCGAACACAATATCGTATATACGCGTTCATACCATCAGTAGCATAACGGGGGAGTGCCCCAAGTACATAACCATAGTGTATATGAGGTTCTTAAGGTTTACCCCCATGGCATTACACCTACAACATTCCATCCTCTCATGCATTACATAGCATAACTGGGTCAACATCGAGCAAGCATAGCATAGCGTACTAGTCATCTCATTCATGGCATGCGGGGTTCTCATTACAATCATGACATGTCAGTCAAACTCATACACACAGGGTAGCAAACCGTGTCACAACCATCACATACATGAACATGGCATACAAAGCATTTCACTACAAGAATCACATACATAAACATGACATACATAGCATTTCGCTGCAAGAATCACATGCATAAACATGGCATACATAGCATTTCGCTGCAAGAATCACATACATAAACATGGCATACATAGCATTTCGCTGCAAGAATCACATACATAAACATGGCATACATAGCATTTCGCTACAAGAAACATCTAACCTAGCATACATCAACAACACACATGGTGCGAGCAAGGGCCACAGGGCACGCACCAACATACATACATATCTAACGCCAACAGTAAAGTTACTTACCTCCTTGGCCTTGGCCGAAGTCACCCACAATGCTAACTCCGGCGCCTAACTACCTCCTATAAGATAACATGATACACTTAGAGTGCTTTCACAACTAGCTCTTATGCCTAGCTACCAAGATACGTCCCTATCACAAGCTATTTTATCACAATGAAGTTATACTGACCTCAGATGGCTGAAACAAGGGTGGGAATGGCTCCAGAAGGGTCAAAAACCTAGATATCGGTATACTGTTTGGATGTCGAGCCACCGAGCCGCGCCGCCAAGCCGCACTACCCAGCCGACCTAGCCGAGCCGCTGGTAGAGCCGAAACCGACGGGCTGCGAAGAACCCTAACGGCAACGGGTTTCTGGGCGCGCCTCTGGTTTGGGCCGAAAAGGAACGTGGCCCAATGGTGGTGTCCGAGTGCGGCCTGCGAGGTGTGGGCTGCACGCCAGCTGAGACGAACCGCGGAATGCCGAGGGTTGACCCGCACCCGCTGCTTCGTCTTCCTCGCCCGAACGCCTCAATAGCCCTTATCGCGGGCTTGGGTACTGTCACCTGTGGAAGCGTCGTCGTTCGTCCATCTCTGGTGGCGCGTTTGTCCCTCCTTGCCCGACGTACACTAGCGCCTGCTCCTACCTAAAGCTTGCTGCGTTATTGATCTCCCAACCCGATCTGAAGTCTAGCGACATTTTTGATCCCTCACCTAAACCCTTCGGCTCCTCCCTCACAGGTATGACAGTGACTCAAAAAGGAAAAGACGGCTACTAAGGTACCTAGGGTTTAATGCGCATTAATACGCCCTGGCTGGCAAGGCATGCCTCACCGGAAATCTCACGATTTTCGGCGAGATTTGAGGCGTTTCCCTTTTTTTTTTTTGCCTTTTTGAAACCCTTACCGTTACAATAGTATAATATGGAATAACATAGCATAGCATGACATAACCCAACCTAATATGAGATTACAAAACATAATGTAATATATCATTTATACATATGACACGTGTAATGGCAACGGTCATGCATCATCATACATAATACAATTCACCAACAAACCCGATCGTGGAGCTACTTACTTGGTGGACCTAGGCCAAAGTAACTAATTCTTCTTGGTACCAGCGTAAATCTGCTCCTTAACGTCCCGTTCAACCTTAGATCCATCTTCTTGATGATATCGATTCAAACAAAATGATGGCAAAGATAAGTTACCTTGTATTCTAATTATTGAAGATAAAGAAATATCTCAACATATCTACTTTATAGTTGGTTTCGTATAATTTTTATTGAATATTTTAAGATAAGAAACCTTGTACAAATCAAGATAGTGTCGATAAGAAGACCATGGAACTAGTGTTAGGGTAGCTGCCTTGTGTCTTTGTGTAGCCATTAGGTTAGAATACGACATTATTTTTCCTTTTTGCTTCAAATGCTACATTATTTACTTTTCCACTTTACGACCCTTTGCAACACTTCCCTGATCTCATGACTTCCCTAATGTGGTTTTAGAGAATTTACCAAGGGTACTCCATTAGTAGATCTTTGCAATAGAGCTTGAATTGGGTACAAATCCATATCACTTGGCCGACCCGTCACCCTTGACCAATAACCCACGTGCCTACCCCACTTGACTTGACTTCTAGGTCACACGCATACTTTACTCTGACTCGTTACCAACCCGACCCAACCGTGACCCGCACACGTCCACCTCCCCTTACTTTTAAAGGAAATAAGTGCTTCAATAGATGTTCAAAGACAAGATTGTAAAGTGGATAGATAGGCTCCGGGAGGTTGGAATAGGGGTTTGATAATTGAGTAAATATCCTTTTGAACTCTCAAGCTTTTGTGTACCTCCATTTTGGCTTACAATAGAGAATGAGAAAAACCGTAAACATAAAGGTAAAAAGTGTTTACGTAAAAAGAAACACAGTCAAGCAAATAATAATAATCTTAACAACACTCAATAGATGCAAAGGAAATTGTGAAATAAACAATATCAAATGAAGTTATATCACAACTAATGGCATATAGCTCTTGTTGATCATAGACTTAGCTTAGCCTACAAAATGGTTAACTGGTGTCCAAGATTGAGGTGCTATCATATTGAACTCAGTCGAGCCGCTTCTCTTCTCGTGGAGTTGCTTCGCTCTCGAACTACTTCCCTGACCCAGAACCCGGAAGTAGTTCCCATATGATCACAAGTCACCAAAGGTTGTGGGAGCAACCCCTGTGTGTGCCAACTCCATTGAGTACCCACATGATCCACGCCCTCCCATAGGACGGATCCCCCGTGCAGGGTAATAAAACTAAACTATTAGGCTACACATTTCTAATTGGCCTCATATCTTGCTCAACGATACTGTACCTGAGTGGAAAGAGAAGTAGAAACTCTGCAAACACCATATCGACCGCTAATAGTTCGAAGGCTACATTTGACATGAACTCATGTATCCAGGTTTCTTAGTTTTGATTCCTTGAGTCTAGTTGGATCGAGAGCATTAAAGGTTGCACCCTTTGATCGTCTCTCACGATTGTAATGTGCTTGGAGTACTAGAAGCGTTCCATTCTAGGTCATGTTCTAGCCAAGTTGACACTAACACCTTAGTCTTATTCAATTTCTACTATCGCTCTACAGATCATACATTTAACCACCTAGAGTTAATGTATAATAAATTGGCATACAATTACACGTGCTATATAGGGAGATAAAATTTATCAAGCACTTGGAGCGCAGACACGCAGATACATAGATACTCATCCTCTGTTCCAACACAATTATGTACACAGTAGTAGTAAGCAGTCAATTACAACATACAAAGGCTATTTTAGATATACCTACAATGAGTGTGACAGTTCTATTGCTTATCTGATCCTTGTATGTTTTGGTCATACTAAATTTAACCTCTTACGATTTGATTTTACTAGCATGCATATCTAAGCTATCCCTACAAATATTACTTGCCTAGAAACTAAGTGATTACTTACATGATTTGTCTCATGCCTTCCTGAGTTTAATTACTGTCCAAAAGTCACCAAAAATTCTTGAAATTCTCTCGTGGATTCTAATTGAGATAAAAAAAAATTGGTTAGCATTGAAATCGGCATAGAAACTGAGAAATGACACATGTCCATGGGTTTCTTCCTTCTTGCGACAAATTTTTTAGAAATCATAAGTATTTTGTTCAAGTATATTTTCATTTTCATTTTCGTAACTCTTGATTCATAACTCAAAACGATTTGGTTTTTCATCAATATTGAAGATTTCTAATAAAACTACCTTGTGAGCCCATAATTACCCTCTTCTTATTACTTTTGTATAAAAAATGATAGTTCCTTCCTGACGAGTACCGTGCACCACTCTTGGTATAAAAACTATTATCGATTAGGATTTAGTCTCTCACAAAACCCTCACTATTCCAATTAAATCATATCATTCGAAAGATTAGTTATTTACACAGTGGTTTCTAACTCTGTTAACTTTTATAAATTATTATTAAATAGAATCTAGATCTTACATGAAATCTTCTCTTGCATCTCAATGAAGTTAGTAACATGTATTCGAGATAGGATAATTGTCGTCTTTAGCTGAGCATGACTATGTTAAGAGATATTTACCTATCTCCCACGTGCTTTTTGTACTCGAATCATGTTTAGTTCTTTTCAAAGTGTATGCTTGTCCCTAAACTACATAAGGCTCTACCTAACTCTTTTCCTTTCCTTCTATTGTTACTAGAATAGTGATCGATCGTGGGTCCTTCTCGTTCAATGAGATTTTATTCTTAAGGACTGCACTGCATTCTTCATTCATGGCTAGACATTGAATTCTTCAAATTTCTTTCATGTAGTTAGAATGCCCTTAAAAACCTTGACGTACTTGCTTTTTGGTGTTGTTTAGATTATTGTAGAAGGTTTTCATTTGTATGCAATGAGGTATTTTGTTATTGGGAAATTTTCTCAGCAATTCCTTGGAACCTTTCTCCTGCCTCAACTAAGTCTCATTGTCAAATTGTTGAAAGACTACTACTTAATTTATGAATTTGACATTTCTGGTGGGCGGAAAATACTTGATTACAAACTTCTCAGCCTAAGTATTCCATGAGTTAATTGTTCTCGAAGGCAGAGTCTTTCACCATGGTTTTGCGGCATCCTTAATGAGTAGGAAAATAGACTTAATCTGATCCATTTCTGGTTGACTTCCTGAAATCAGAACGAATCACTTACACCTATATATGATTTTAAGTGTAAATAAGGATACTCGGAAGACAACCCATGAAATTTCTCAAATGTTTGCAACATTTGAAGCATCTCGGATTTTAACTTGAACACGGCAACTTGCTGTTCAACTTGCAATTCATGCTTGATTATGCATGGATTAAGTTTTTTCGTAGTATTCTTTCAACCTCAGTTTTAACATAAGGACTATGGAAATTATTATAAAAGAAATGAAACGAGGAATAAATTTGTATAGAATTCAATAAACATTTGTTAAAATTTAGCCGAGCCTAGCTTAGTTGGTAGGGTGCAAGGTTCTGGGCATTTTCATTTTGTTTTTCACATTTTAGTAAAAATGTTATTAGTTATTTATTAATTTGGTTATCAACGTAACCATTTTATTTTCCAAAAATTACCTTGAAATGTTAAGCATATGTTTTAGTCAAACATGTTTAGTTTATGAAAAACAATTTGTTTAGTTTATGAAAAACAATTTACTTAACCATTTATGTTTCAACTATACTAATTTAGTTTATGACTTTCATCATATTGAGTGAACCGGCTTCAATTTAGAGAATGAATATCAAATAATATATCATTAAATGAGACACTCTATGAAAATCTTTATGGATACCATCTAAATTGATGTACTACTTCTTAAGTCCAAAATATGTAAAATGACCAACATATCCGTAAACCCTTTTAAAGTATTTTAAGGTCTACACACCCTCTAAATGACGTACTACTTCTTATAAGGCTTATTCCTAAGAATATACAAATTGTTGGGATTTATGCCCTAAAGCCTCGTAATTAATTATTTAGTTTTTAACAATAATTTTCTTATTTTATTTGTAATTTATTTGTTACCCGTGGTATGAAAATTCAATGTTATTAATATAATCTTGAATAATATATGGTTGATATACAAGAGGATTGTGTTCAAGTAATAACCTAAAGAGTCTATAGTATATGGATAAGGTTGGGTGCCTTATCCTAGCAACACTGTTGATACAGCCCCCTTTGTAATTGTTACAAATGATTTGATCCAAATCATTCATGTGAAGACATGTAAGTGGGGATATCCTATACAATGAGTTTGTATAAGACTAGACCAAGAAATATTTAATCTCTCTTTATAAATCCGTTAATTGAGAAGATTAATATTTCACATGATGATCATATGCGACTCGATTTTAATCCTGAGTGAGTTATGAACTCCTGCCTCGGAGGGCTTGTCCTTTAATTTATATGGATGAGAATAACTCTCTTAGTCGATTCAATATGCCTACCATTTTGGGGACTTAGACCAAGGAGGGAGTTGGGAACATAATATCATGAGATGGACTTCACTCCTTTCCATATGAAGAAAGTAGATGAGTTGTTCTCTTAAGTGCTGAGTTGAACCATGGCGCCCCACCCTCTCATTGGCCCGAGAGGGACTTGGTTTATGATTGGATCATAAACAAATTGTTTATTAGAGAATCAGCGGTACTTAAGGTGAAAGATGTAATTACAAGGGTAAAACAGACTTTTGACCCAACTGTAATTATAAACAACTCGTGAAGGATCGACTTGCTTGTAATGATTATATCAATGAACATAACTTGTCCTACAGTGCATACGAGTGCAACTCTAAGTCTATAGTTGTAATACCCGAAGAAAGAGAAATAGAAATAGAAAAAAAAAATAGGAAAA